CACTAGGAAGAATGTATGCAATGTGTTAATTATTGAAACTGTCCTACCAATTTGGTTTGAAACTGTCTCATTGCTATTTGTTTCTCAATAAAAGTATGGAAAAAATAAAAATAATTATAATTTATATTATCATTTATTTTAAGTATCAATAATATTTATGTTTAGTTATATGTTTATATTACTACTTTATAGTTCAATTCATCTGTCATGTGTTGTAAGAGATATACCAAATGCATCCATCTTGACTGAGGTTTGTTGGAGCAGGATGGGCTTCTATTATGAGCATCCTGAAAAATCATGGAAGGGGTTATTTTAGATCTTGTTCTTTGAATTTGTGGCTGAATATGGTATTTCTGGGATCTTTTTCTGTTCCAGGGTTCTGTTTATCTATTCTTCCCCCATGTTGATTATAGAAGCTTTATAATAAGTTTGGAAATCAAATAGAGTCAATTTTTGTTCTTCTCCTTCAATATTGTATGGCTACCATGAGTCTTTGAGACCTCAATTTTCCTTTTCTAGAAGTACTAGGAATTGAATCTAGGACCTTTTTGCTGAGCTACATCTTTTTTTTTTTTTTCTTTTTTTGTACCAGGGATCGAACTTGGGACCATGCACTTGCCAGGCAATCTTTTTTATTTTGAGACAGGATCTCATTAAGTTGCTAAATTGTCCAGGTGAAGTTTGAATTCGCTACTTTCCTGCCTTAACCTCCCAAAATTCTGGGATTACAGGCATATATTACCAGGCCTGTCTGGGGTCTCAATTTCTAAGAACATTGTCTTAGTTCATATGTTATAAAAAAAAAAATACCTCATTCCAGATATTTATAAACACCAAAAATTTGTTTCTCACAGTTCTGGAGTCCAAAACCCAAGAACACAGTGCCAGCAGGTTCTCTATCTGGTGCAGGTTCTTGTTTTCCAGACAGTGCCCTGCTGCCCTTGGCCTCATGCAGTAGACAGGCAGAAGGACAAGTGGCTGGGGAGCCCTGCCTGCGTTTGGCGAGAGCTGCTCATTCAGTGCCTATGGGCGCTTCCCAGGTGGTTCATAAAGCCCATGTTGACAGCCCTGTCAGGGGCTCATAGGTTCACCGTCAGAATTTAGGGGCACACATATTCAAACCATGAAAATTAGAAAACTGAGAACCAACAGTTTGAGAACTGCAGATATAGAGAAATATGGACAAGGCCAGGGGATCCTTGCACACAGAAGACAGTGATAGTGGAGGGACATGAGCTCCATTTTGCTCTTATCCCCATTGCCTCTTCAACGTGCAGCTCTGTGAGTCTCCAAGCAGCTGCTATATGGCACAGAAATGGCCTCTTCTCAGGAGAAATCCCAGAGGGGTACAGAATGTGGCATAAGGACCTCAGGATTTGGTACAGCAACCTCCCTTGGGGCCGGAGGCCAATGGGTGAGTTAGGCAGCGTAAGATTTGTTCCCATCTTCTGAGACAAAGGTGACCTTGGTGGTGAGGTCTGTGCATGAAGACCATGTGCTGTGCCTTTTTTCCCAGAATGAAAATGTCAGGAGATCTGAGGGGCAAACTGTGCAGCAAGGAGAACATTTGCACCACTTGTCTGCCTACCACCCTTGACATTTTACAGGAAATGTGCAGAAGGGAAGAGGTGGGGCCTTCGCCTCAAGCCTCAGGACTGAAAAAACATCCTCCAGTCTGTGAGAGAGGAAGCTTATTTGCCTAAAGAGGCCAGATGCTAACTGTGCTCCTTTCTCCCTGGCCACACCACAGATGCCAAGCAGGGCAAGAGACCAACTGGGACACATGGGGAAGCTAGGTTAGCAGACAACCAGCGCAGCAAAACAGCCTTGAACCTCTCAGCAGCATGTTATGCCACACAGCTGTTCCAGGTCCAGCTGACTTCCTCAGCTACAGGAAAGAGGGTCTCTGGAGTTCCCACCTCAACCACGCAAGTCGGCTGGCCCAGCCTTCCTGGCCCAGGCCCTTGGAAGGACTCCCCCAGACCTTTTAAGCATTTTCCAGGCTGGGGATCCAGAGCTGTCCTGGAACCAGCAATGTGCTCATGTGGTCTTGAAATATCCACAAATCATGGTGCATGCTTTTTTTGGTGAGAAGGTCTAGAGTTTTCATCATAATTTTAGAGGTAGGGGAAGTCATACACAAAAAGACTCCTCTATAGTAGAGGCCAGCACTAGCACATCTGCACTTATGAGAGTTTTTTTCCAAAAATCATGCAGACACATTAACATAATCAATAGCTGAGTGGTTCTCCAGGTCAGGTGTAGCGCTGGGGTAGGAAAAGCAATGGTGAGCAATAGTAGATGCAGGCTCCAGCAAGATAGCTCAGCGGACTAAGTGCCTACTTAGGCAAGTGCAGGAACTGGGGTTTGATCCCTGGAACCACATGCTGTCCTGGCCCTGCCTCTGGGTGCACTGAGCTGGCCACTGAGACTGGGCATGGTCCCAGTGCTGGGGAGGCTGATAAAAGAGGATCACTATGAGTCCAAGTTGGGTAATGAGCTGTACCAAATATATTTTTTTAAAAATACTCAGGAGGATTAGATACTGAAAACTCTTCCCCCTCACCCACCTATATTCCCAGTCCTTCCCAAGGCTACCTACATGTTTGATAGATAGATGCATATTCCCTCTGCTCTCTGACCAGGAGAAGAGAAGATTGCCAGAAGACATGACACTTGAAAGAGGAAGTGCGAGTATGAGTTAACTAAGTAAGGACTGGAGGAGGGCAGAAGGCACAGTCCAGATGGAGGCAGCGAACAGTACCAGGTCCTGAGTCAGAAGAGAGCACAGCCTAGCAGAACTAAAAGCCTATGCGGCTGGAATACTGAGATGAAGGGAAAAGGCGGAGGTCCTAAGTGCACAGTGGGGTGGGAACATGCAGCCTCATGGCCTGGTTAGTGTGGTAGATGTTTCCCTTGGAGCGTGGGTAAGCCACTGACAGATAAGTGCAGGTGACCTGGAAACATATTTGATTCTTGAAACTCTTCACCCTCACTGTCTAGCAGAAAGTGGAGTGGAAGAAAGAACAGTTTCTGGGCTCTTAATTAGTTCAGGTGACTTGGTGTTATCTTAGTTGGGCTGCTGTGTGTAACAGGGAACGGCAGTCGGGTAGCTCATCTAACAGAAGTTTAGCTCTCACAGTTCAGGAGGCTGGAATCTGAGGTCAGAGTACCAGCACGGTCAGGCCATGAGGGCCCTCTTCCAGATGCACTGTTACACCCGAGTGTGGCAAAAGAAGGAGAGGGAGCTTTCTGGCCACTTCTGTAAGGCCACAAATCTCATTCATAGGGCCCCACCCTCACGATCTCATGTCCTACAAAGGTCCTACCTCCTTCACCCTCACTTTGTGTTCTAAAGTTTCAACTTGCAAATTTGCAGGGTACATGTCTCTGTTGCCATGGTGGGAAGAGAGGAGGGAGGGAGAGATAAAGATTGATGGCAAGAAATGTATATGTGTAAGACGTTTGCTTCCAGAAAATGTTAACAAAGCATTTGTTTTGGTTCTCTCAATCTTGGAAGAAAAATTGATAAAGGTTTATTTATAACATAGTTAACACCTGGCAACATTTTGTCCTAGCCTGTGATTACAGTGACAAGATATTTAGCATTCCTGTGAAAGGCTGATGGACAGAGCTCATGTCTTGAAGATTCCTGCTAGAAGTCATTCGGATGCATCTCAAGACCAGCACCCCACTTTTTGTGGGAAGATGGGAAGGTGGCTTGTGCCCCCCTGCCCCTGAATGCTTGTTGTGCTAAGGCAGAAGGGCTGTCACTTGCTGCCATGGCTACTGGGCTCCTCACATTTGTAGGAACCCTCCCTGTGGCAGGAAGTTATTGTCGCTAAAAGATCATAACAAAATGACCATGTGGTTGATGTGAACATCTGGTTATGAAACAAGTCATTAAATACCTGCTGGCTATTGTTGGGTGTTTTCACAGTCTTCCTTCTCTTCCTAACTTCCCAGAATGGCTTCCTCAGAGGAGCAAGGAGGGGTCACCTGTGGTTTCATCCGCCAGAACTCCAGCAACTCCATTTCCTTGGACTTTGAGCCAAACACAGAGTACTGGTTTGTGGAGCAGTTGGAAGAGCGCTACAAGTGCGCCTTCTGCCACTCCGTGCTGCACAACCCCCACCAGACAGGCTGCGGGCACCGCTTCTGCCAGCACTGCATCCTGGCCCTGAGGTGAGTGGAGGGGTGTGACACAGGGTGGCAGGGTGCAGCCAGCCTTGAAGAGCCAGCTGCAGCTGCTCGGTGGTGGCCACGGCGTTCATAAGCATGTGGCTGGCTGCAGAGGAGGAGCTCTCCCAGGTCCCTCTGTTAGAGCCTGAAGAGCACTCTTCACCTCTTACCCTCATTTATATATATTCACTTTTTGTTAAAATTGAGATCCCATGTGTCCTGCATGGGACAGCAGCTACAGGCATAATTTTTGTGGGAAGGTGGCTTGTGCCCACCTGGCCCTGAATGCTTTTTGCACTGAGGCAGAAGGGCTGTCACTTGCTGTCGTGGCTGCTGGGCTCCTGGGCAGCTGTGAAGCCTACGTTGGTCAGTATTCCATCAGTCTAATGAACTACTTGGGATAATGAACTTACAAGAATAAGATGGTTAGTTTTGCTCACAGTTTTGGCATTTCCAGGCCAAGATGCACTGGTCCCAGTAGTTTGGACCTGCAGCAAGGTAGCATATCATGGTGTGTGGGAAACTGAAGAAAGAGAAAAAGGGTCTGGTGTTTCACTTCCACCTTCAAAGTCACAGTCTTGGGTCTTAAAGGCCTTCCACCCAGCCCTGTGTCCCCATTGCAGCACCCTGGGGACAGGCCTTTAATGTGGACCTTTGAGAGACATCCAGTACCCCGATGCTAGCAGCCTAGCATTGTGCCATTTTAATGGGGGAGACAAGGAGAGATGTTCAGTAGCTTTGAGGTTTCTATGGGGCCAAGAAGCAGGTGTGCCCTCTGGCTTTGAAGGCAGTCAGCAGCACATGCTCATTTCTTTAGCACCTATGCCTTCCAGGCTCTTTGTTCAGCTAAGCTCCAGTGTGGAGAGCTGAAGAGGTGGGAGCACCATGTGGGGAAGGACCCAGTGCTGGGCTCCTAGCACATCCCAGGTTAGTAAGAGGGCAGATGCTGCATGTGGGATAAACATTGGCCTGGGGCATCCACACTGACCAGACCACTCTCTCACTCACTGCATCCTAAAGGGTGAGTGGGAGTTTTTTAAGGAGACTGAAAGACTGGAAAGGTATAAAAGGAGGGGCTCGGGGGCACCCTTGGGGAGAGGGGACCACACATGCAAAGACAGGATGACAGCGTGCTCAGGGACAGCTCCTGGCTGGAGCACCGGGATGCTCTTGGAAGAGCTGTTGAGGTTGAACACCTAACTGTGGTTCTATTTCTGTTTTTCTCCTCAGAGAATTAAATGCAATGCCAATCTGCCCTGTAGACAAAGAAATTATCAAATCTCAGGAGGTAAGAGAATCACTGTCCTGGGTTGAGTTGGTCTTTGGGTTTGGTTGGTGCAGGAGAGTGGTCAAGGTTCCTAAACCTGCTAGAAAGAGGCTCCTGTGATCTTCACCAACTCACTCCTTGCCCCTTGCTGTACTGGCTTGAGCCATAGTAAGCAGAGGGAGAAATAGAGCACCCTGTCTCCTTGAATTCACTTTCTTGTTTGGTTAACACCTTAAACTTCCTTTTTGTTTAGTAACAGCTTTATTGAGACAAAATTCATATTGTATAAAATATATGTTTGAAAGTGAGACACTGAGTGGGTCTCCAGGTATGCACAGTCATGCGGCTGTGGTACCTACTCCTTTCTCTTCTTCTCAGCCCTTAGAATCCACTAATCTAGGGGCCAGGGAGATGGCTCAGTAAAATAAGTTCTTCCCTGGCAAGCACAAGGGTCTGAGTTCAATCCCCAGTTCTGCAAAAAAAAAAAAAAAAAAGAAAAAGAAAAGAAAAAGAAAAAAAAATCCACTAATCTAGTTTCTGCTTTTGTGGATTTGCCTATACTGGATATTTCATAAGGATGGAATCATGTAGTATGTATCCTTTTGTACCTGAGTTCTTTCACTTAGCATGCTGTCTTCAAGATTCATCCATGTTGTACAATGTTTTATATTTCATTGTTTTTATTGCTGCATATTATTCCATCGTATGGCTATACAACATTTTTAAAAAGAAAAAAATTTGTAAATAGAATATTACACTTTAGTAATGCATTTAGCCTGTAGATGGGCTGGGAAGATAGCTCAGTAGGGTAAGTGCTTGCCTGGCAAGTGCAAGATCCTGAGTTCAGTCCCTGGTACCACACACACAAAAAAGTTTAAAAATCTATTTTTCAGTTACCCAACCAGCAAAGTTAAGGGAGTAAAGGTTTATTTGGCTCACAGATTGTAGAGGTTTCAGTCCACAGTTGACTGGCTCCAGGCAGGGTGGAATGGTGGAGGGTTATGGCAGGAAGAAGGCAAGCAAGAGCAATTCACCCTCTTTCCGTCCACTGTATTCTGTGCAGCCTACCTGCTGTAGGGCAGGGGCAGCACTCATACCCTTAATTCTACCAAGCCAATCAGTTGACTCATCTAGGAATCATGCAGTCTTGATCCCAGCACCAGGCACTCTAGACCCAGCCACTTCTGAAAAGCCTCACCTATGGCTGCATGAGGCTTTGGAGAGACATCTAGACACAAGCCGTAACAGAAACTTTTTTCCCAAGAAAAACTGTTTCCTTAAGGCCTCTATTTAATTGCATGCAGTTTTCTTCATCTGGCATTTTGTTACCCGGAATGTAGGCACCACCTCCTCCAAGAAGCATTCCCTGGGCATCTGGCAGGATCAGCTGCTTTTTCTCTACACTCCTTATGATGTGTTTTATAAACACCTCCTGGAGGGCTGTGCTTTGCTTAGTGTCTCTTTGACCCGTCAAGTCGGGGGTACGTACTCCAGCCTTGGGGGAATCCAGCTGCCACCTTTTTGCTTGGCCTGTGAGCTAAACAAAGGACTTTCACTGTTTAAAATTTATATATTTGGTACAGGGCCTCGCTATGCAGCTCAGACTCATAGCCATCCTCCTGTGTCAGCCTCCCCAGTGATGGGATTATAGGCATGCACCACAACAGCTGGTTTTGGTGGCCAGCATGGCATGTGGTACCAGGGATCGAACCTGGGTCCTTGCACTTTCCACGCTGGCACTTAGACTACTGAGATATCTCTTTGGCCCAACATTTACATGTTTAAATGGTTGAAAAACTATCAAAAGAAAGATGCATAGCAACTTTTCTATTTTTGCTTCTTGCATTAAACTATTTCAAAATACGATTATTTTAAAAATCAATGTTTTATGACACATGAAACTGAGGCAAACTTCAAATTTCATATCCATGCAATGTTTCATTGGCACATTTGTTTTGGAGTTGTGTACAGCAGAAGTGAAATTTGGTAACAGGTGTTCATGACATGGCTTACAAAGCTGAACAGATTTACTGTCTGACACTTTAACAGAAAAGTTTTCTAACTCCTGGTTTGTGCAGACAGTACAGCTTCAGGAGCACCCTGGGAGAAGCAGTATCGGAGTTACTTTTCTTATTGCTGAGACAGAATATCTAGTCCCCAAAAGTGAAGGAGGAAAGGTTTATTTGGCTCAGTTTGTAGAGGTTGCAGTCCATAGTCAGCTGGCTCCAGGGCAGGTGGCCCATGGCAGGGTGGGCAAGAAGCAACAAGCCTACCTTCCATCTCTTCCCTTCTATTCCATCCAGACCATGGGCGCCATTCACACGGAGGGGGCAGCCTCACATTACTCACACCCAAAACAGTGTTAAACCTGTCGGTGGAGTAGTGCCATTATCACACACCTCTATTCCATCTTCACACACCCTAGATCCAGCCATCTCCATAAAGCTACATCCATGAGCAAGCACAGGCAGCTTTGGGGGACATCTGGACACAAGCCACAATGTTGCACCCCTAACCCCCAAAAGCTTACATGTACATCCCTTTGTGCAAAGGCACTTAGTGATTCCCTCAGAGTTGCCAAAGCCATAACAATTTCAGCATCACTGAAAAGTCCAAATCCAAAGTCTTCTCTAGATTTAAGGCAAACTCTTAGCTACAAGCCACTATACAAATGAAAAGAAAGTCACACACTTTCCACATACAATGGCACAAAGTAAATATTCTCATTCTAAAAGGTAGGAATAGGAGAATGGAGAGGAATAGGTCCAAAGCAAGACCAAAATCCAGCAGGACAAATATTAAACCCCACAGCTCCATGGCCAGCACCTGGACTGTGTGAAGTCAGGGTCACACGAGATTGTCCGAGTGCTGAGTGCTGAGTTACCTGCTTCTCAGAAGTGTGTATGTGAGCTAGCCTTTCCACTTAGGGTAATTGTGAGGGTAATATTTCCATAAACTGGAAGTTTCCATCAGACTTTCGAGATGTGCTTGAGGATCAAACTAATAGCTTCATTTGCATTCCTGTAAAGTGTTGGAGCATATGAGAACTAACAGGTTTATTTTTTAGGTGTTTAGAGACAATTGCTGCAAAAGGGAAGTTCTCAATTTATACGTGTATTGCAAAAATGCCCCTGGATGTAATGCCAAAATGATTCTGGGACGATATCAGGTTGGTATGCCCAATACTTGGCTTTGTCACCTCTCTGGTGTCATGTATCAGCTCCTCTATGTGACAGCTCCTGGGTAATCATGGTGGAGGGAGCCCTGGGTTGCCCTCTGAGGATTCCTGGATCTCACTGTATGCTGTGCAGTTGCACTGAAGCACACCATAGATGTGGGTGTTGACTAAGAGGTGCACCTTGTCTGAGGGTGTGCTGTGTATGCCAGCCCCTAAGTTGTAGGTGAGGGGTCATCAAGCCAAAAAATGTGTGGTGCATGCCAAGCAAAAGGAACATTCAGGTGAAGATGGGTAAGTTGGGGAGATCTGTAAAGGATGGGGGCCAGGCATGACTGCAGAAGGTCCCTGCCCCAAAGTATTTGTGCTGTCACCTGGAGCTCTGGTGTGTGGGCCTGGCCTCAAGGTATGTGTGTGAGACCTAGGCAGATCACACAGACCTGGGATAGAATGCATTTTCAGGGTGAAGCTTTGGTGTGAGACACAAACAGGTGTAGGGGAAGTTCAACTGAGGGGGAGTTGAGTTCCTGTCAAAGGCTGCTAAAAGGAAGCTGGAAATGCGGTTTATGTCAGGCTCGATCACACTGCAGGTGACTAACACTCAGGCATCTCTGGCCTCCGGGGAACTGACTAGAAGCTGCTGGCATTTTCCCCTCAGATACACAGCTCAGAAGATATATTTTAGATGACTCAGCCTTTTCTTTATCAGGCCTCCCAACCCCACAGGCTCTGAGGTGATAAATTATTTCCTTGTGAACACAAGGATTACTTTGAAGGTTCACAGAACTTTCTAACTGTCCTATGACAGCCCTTTGCCACCTGCCTTTATGGCAGGCCCTAGAGCTAGGCTTCTTTTCCAATACTACTGCCACTAAGCCTGAAAAAGAAATGAGGCTTAGATGGACCACAAAGGTAGGGACCAGACCGGAACCATCTGGAGAACAGGGGCTGGCTTCATCCACCCATTTCCCCTGGGTTTCCCTCACTCCTGGCTCCACTCCCCCTGTGAAGCAAGGTGTAGGTTCTGCAAGGTGACAGAGTTCCATGAATACTGACTGGTAAGAGTTGATGGCTGGAATATGTGAATTTTGAAGAAGATACAGATTTTGACTGCTGTAATCATCATTTGCTTCTTACTACCAGAGGTGAATAGCTGTTAACTTTATCCTACTGATGAAAAATTTTCCCTCCATTTTCCTTCAGAGAGGAGACAGCAAACTCTCTGTTAGGAGCCAGACAGTAAATATTTTAGGCTTTGAAGGCTGTACAGTTTCTTGTGCAGTGACGCAGCTCTCCTGCTCCAGAAGGAAGGGAATGTAGACAGCATAAGTGAATCATTTGCTTGCTGCCTCTGTTTTAAAGGAAAACACATCCACTAGGATCAGGGAGTTGGTCTGCATCACAGCCATTGTCAGTGACCCCTTGGTTTTTATTGAGACCTACCTGCTTTTAAAGGTCTGAAATGTGAAGAATCCTATGTTATAGATCGCTAGCACTGGTTAAGAGTATTTTCCTATTTTACAAGGCAGAGCGTTCCTGGTGACTCCTATGCCCATGAGCCTGTTTCCTCTGTTTCTTTCTTCCTGCTTCTGAGACAGCCTCCTCTCCCTCTCCTTTCCTTCTTGGAGTCATTGTACACCCTTCTCTCTTTCTCTCTTGTCCTTCTGCCCCACCCTCCAGCGTGTGCGGTGCAGAGGCCACTACAAGGAGTTGCAGGGATGGATGGAGAATGCACAAAAGAAGTAAAAATACACCCTAACTGACAAGCCTAAGGAAAGTAGCCAGGAACTGACCCGATGATATAAGTGGGGACTGGGCCATCTGAAATACTCCTGGCATATCTCCCTGCACCATCGTCCCCTCTCCTGGTTCAACCAAACAAGGTGCTTTGCAGCTTCCAGTCCCAGCAGTCCTTTGCAGCCTCTCCTCAGCAGAGGCGTGGGTGGCCTTTGGGACAGACCTGGGACCCCACATCTCCCACCCTGCACTATCTTTTCTGTCTAGCCAGCCCTATGCTTGCCCTCCCAGGGCCTTCCAGCCGGTCTCACTGGCCTCTTGCTATCTGTCACAGGATCACCTGCAGCAGTGCCTGTTCCAGACCATTCCATGTTCCAATGAGAACTGCCGGGAAGCCGTGCTCCGGAGAGACCTGCAGGAGCACCTGAGCACGGGCTGCCAGTTCCGGGAGGAGAAATGCATTTACTGCAAGAAGGACGTGGTAGTAATCAATCTACAGGTAAATGGGCAGCCTCCCTTCTGGGGAGGCTGCAGCTCAAAGCCTTCTTGGCAGGATGCTGTTCATTTACCATGGGTGGAACTAGCATTTGAACACCTGCAGGGGGTGGGGGGGGGTGGTGTGAGCTCTGGATGACAGACCGGTGACAGTGATGCTGCCCTGCAGGCTCTGAACTGGATAGGCAGAGTGTGTGTGTGTGTGTGTGTGAAATAAGTCCCTGGCTCCAGGGGCCAAAGGAGCCACTCTGTTAACTCCCCGGGCTTCTTTCTTATTAGAGTCCCCATGCTCTCTGACATACTGTTTGAATAATCAGAACATTTAATCTTTTCACTGAATTCATTTAATTCTTTAGGGGATTATCTTATAAATCCCAGTGGAAGGCAAGCCACAGACATCTATCTTCAAAGAGACACGTCTGCATCTGTGGTGAGGCCAGAAGAGAGAAACTCCAATTTTGTTTCCTCTCACTTTCTGTTTCAGAACCATGAAGAGAACTTGTGTCCTGAGTACCCAGTGTCTTGTCCCAACAAATGCTCACAGGTTTTTCCAAGAACCGAGGTAACTGTACATAGTCCTTTCTATACGCTCTATGTGAGCTAAAGTGTAAGCATTCACTGTGGTGGGTGTTTGAAAGAAACCCAAGGCAAAGACCTGAGGTTTAAGCCATCCCCTCGGAATCCTGTCTCTGCCCCCACTTCTCTCTTCCCTTCAGCCTCTCCTCAGGACCCATCCAAGCTCCTCCTGCCCAGGTTCTTGCCTTCTGCAGGTCCCTCTTTCTGCTCACAGGCCTGTCCCCCATGCTAGCTGGAGCTTCCATAGCGTGAGGTCTGCCTGTCTTACAGGTGGATGAGCATCTGGCTGTGTGTCCGGAAGCTGAACAAGACTGTCCTTTCAAGCACTACGGCTGTGCCGTGAAGGTAGGGTATGCCTGTCTGTTTCCGCCTTTGTATTCTCCTGTATAAGTCACTGGGAAAGTCATCACTGTTAGTCTTCGATCCCATTCATGATACATGATTACAATACAGAGAGTTGCAAGACGGTAATTGTATTAGGATTCCAGAGAACAGACCTGCATATAAATAACTGGCTCATGTAGTTATGGAAGTTAACAAATCCAAAATCTGCAAGGCAGAGCAGCCCGGCAATCTGCACACCCAGGCTGGAGTGTCGATGCTGCAGTCCTTCGAAGTGCTTCTAGGGGATGCCTTCACCCAATTGGGCAAGGCCCACCCACAGACGGTAAGGGTAATCTTTAAGATCCAGTGATTATATTCATCATATCTACAGAGTACCTTCTCAGCACCACGTAGGCTCATGTTGGTGAAAGAACTAGGAACCATAAACTATTATATTACTTACAGTGAGGCCCCAATTTAGGAACATTTGAGTTGTGAACTTTCACAGGTATACCAGAAGAGACTCGCTGTTGGCTTACAAACAGATCTGATTTAGAAGCAATTCTCCCAGAACAGAACTCGTTCATAAGTTAAGGACTTACTGTATAATTAAAATAATTATTCAATAAGTTATATAAAATACATTTTTAAGAAAATAAAATTTGATTTCTACTTCAGGCCTTTTAACTGCTTCCAGATATTATGTTCTATATTATCATTCCATGTTTTATGGAAATCTACAATTGCTATAAAATAAAGTGTTTTCATTGTCATTGATTTGTTTTTTTGAGACACAGTCTTGCTATGTAGTTCAGGCTGGCCTTGAGCTCACTTTGTAGCCTAGGTTGGCCTCAAACTCACAATGATCCTCCTGCCTCAGCTTCCAAGTGCTGGGATTACAGGAATGTGCCACCTTAAAAATAAATTTATGTTAAAAATCATAAAAACACTAGATGAAAAAAATGAATGAAATTTTAAATTCTTAAAATAAGCTCTTTATTAGCTGACTGACATAAGACCAGAGGCCATCATTCTGATGTTTCATCACAAATATTTAAAAATTCAGTGTGATTTTTGAAATTCATAAAGTTAAATGGTAAGCCACAAACTGGAAAAAGGTTTAGAACATATGACAAGACAAAAAGGGAGCTATTTTTAACATACAGAAACTCATCTATATGAATAAATTATACAACTCCATAGAAAACAGGAAAAGGATTATATGGATAGTTAAGAAAAAAACTAGATGGCTTGTAGACGTACAAAAAGAAGCTTAATTTTACTTATAAATAAATGTAAATTACAACAAGAAATAAGACTTTCACCATGAAAATGACAGATTAAATAATACTCAACTGATTTTAGGGAGTTGGGTTATATCTATGAACATAATAACCTTTGAATTATACAGCTAGGAGTTTATTTCTCAGATTTCCTTTCAAACTTCCCTGGTGGTCTAGTGGTTAGGATTTGGTGCTCTCAAATATCCTTTCATAAATGTTCACACTCAGATACACACAAGCACATATACACACAAGGCACACATGACAGTACTGTTTGTATAGCAAAAAACAAAACCTAAGTGCAAATAAAAAAACAAAACTAAAAACCTGTAAGCTCATTACAGAAGTACCAGCTATCTTATGATATTGTCATATTTAGAAATAATACATCTGATAAAATTGAATGAGCTGTATGTAAAAGATTAAAGTGGCCGGGTCGCCTTTGTGTTAAAATTGTGTGCTTATCTTTGTTGACTATGGTATGTAACACTTCATTCTACATCTTGCTATATTGCTTGACATAATGACCTACTTCTTTTATTGCAAAAATCTATTTATTAATAAAAAAAATTTTGAAACTTTGTGAAGAAAGTGTCAGTTTGACACATGCCCAACCAGTGCAGACATTCATCCTTGGAAGCAGCTGTGCTCACCACCATACCACCAATGCCAGGCATGTCTTTTAACCAGAGAGCTCAGTTCCTGTGACTGGGTCATTAACTTCATTGGTCACTAGGAGGAATTGCATATGGTATGCACATTCCAATACTCAGAACAACAAAATGATCAAATTGATAACTTGATCAAAAATTATCAAACTGATAACTCCATCTTGATAACTTTGCTTTTATTTGTATAGCTCTTATATGTAGTACTGTAGTGAATAACAGAATGTAGAACTACAGTTCTGTACCATACAGTCCAATAAGGAAAAAGTATTGTGTGAAGAAGGTATATTGTACAAAAAAAGACATGGAGCTCTATAAATAAGATGTACAGAACTATACCAAAAAAGGTAAGTCCGAACAGTCATTAAACATGAATGTCTGTAACTATCTTACCTGAAGGAATGATAGGATTTTCTTTCATCACAGAAGTACATTAATGCCTTCCAACTCTGAAAACAGAGGTGTGGAGGCCCACACCTCCATCTGGGCTGGATTCTAGAACTTACCTCAGTACCAGAGCTGGGGCTTGTTGGAGGAGTTGTTCTCTGGGGCCTTATTTGGGGCAGCCTGTCACCAAGGAGGCCAGCCCTAAACTAAAGGGAAACTGGTAATGAACATTTGCTTCGACTATCTGGACCACCTGCAATCATCAGAGAAGCAGCAGCCATTTCTTGCAAACTTATTCTACCCTTTTATGGGTGTTAATTTGTATGGGCTGAAATTAGGCTGCAGCCTTCTGCCCCTGACAACAGGATAATATGAGAGACAGCACAGAAACATGGCTGATGGGAGGGAGGACCATCCCAGGCTAAAAATTAAACTAGCGAGAGCCCACAAGGACATAGGAAATTGCTGAGAGGACCTACTCACAGAAGGACAGAGGAGAAAATCAGCACCAACAGTTTTGATAGCAGCAGGGGCTTTGTTAAGTTTAAGATTGCCTCATGGGCACTATAGAATCCCAGAGCGAGAAACAAGAACGTAGAACCCCTTTTCCTGCAACCCACCCGGCAATGGGTGGATCCGTACAATTAAAGCAGCCATGCTGCTGAGGTTCAGTATCAGCAGTGTCCCACTGCAATCCTTATTCTCACAACTCCCGCTAACAGGGCTTCTTTTTCTTCATGTTCAAGGATAAGCGGGGAAGCCTGTGGAAGCACGAACAGTCAGCCTTACGGGAGCACATGCTTCTGGTTCTGGAGAAGAACTTCCAGTTAGAAAGACAGGTGAGCCTTCGAGGGTCCACATCTACAGGGAAGCAGTGGGAATGCTGGGACTCGCCTGCACAGTGTGGCTACCTATGCGTCTCTGCGTCAGTGTAGGTTAATGCTTCCCTCCTCAGTGGCTGGACAGGCTGGCAGCAACATGGAATGAAAGGACTAGTGGTGCCTCAGAGACCTTTGATTCCAATGCCCTCATTCAACGTGGTAGTGACTAAGCTCAAAGAAATGCTGATGAGTTTGTGGCTTGTAGGTGGCAGGACTCAACATCAGGCTATGTCCTCTGAGTCTAGGTCCAGTGCTCCTCATGGTACATCTTTACTGCCTTTCCATGCACCTTCTGGTTACTACCTGGAACTTAGTAGATGTTTTAAAATTAAGTCATTACGACCACAAAACACCAGTTGACTGTTCTAAGCATTGTAGATTTTGGTAATTTAGAAAAAGGTCTAAGCTGCCTGTTTAGCTTTGTAATAGGATGAACGTGTGCTTATTTAATATTTACATAATCAAACTGTGATTATCAGGTGAAATTATGTCATAGTGCCTGCAGCCTTCAGATTAGACCTCAATAACTGCTGATTCTAATGAATAGCGATTATGAAAGTTAATTATTTTGTTAGACACTCAGACCTTTTTTCTCTTTTTCTTTTTGGTACTAGGAATTGAACTTTGCACTTAGCAAAGACCTTTGCACTTAGCGGCATCTCCAGAAGTTCGAAAAAATTTTTGTTTTGAGACAGTACCTCACTAAATTGCCTAGGCATTAATATAATCCTCCAGCCTCAGCCTCCCAGAGTGCTGGGATTGTAGGTGTGTACCATCATGCCCAGCAAGAGAAGACTTCATGCTCACCTAGGAAGGAGTTGAATTTTACTATTGCACATTATTGTACAAGGGGCTGGAGGGGCCAGAAAGATAGCTCAGAGGCATAAGCCCTTACCTGGCAAAGACAAGAACTTGAACTCAGTCTCCAGCCCCCGTGCAGTCTTGGCCCTGGATCCCCAGGTGCCCCGTCTTTGCCCTGGATGCTGGTGTCCACTGTGCAGCCTCAGAACCGGGCAGGGTGGTGCATGCCTGTAATCTCAGCACTTGGGAGATTGGGCCAGAAGTATCTCCGTGAGTTTGAGACCAACCTGGGGGCTACAAAAGTGAGTACAAGGCCAGCCTGAACTGCATAGCAAGACCCTGTCTGAAAGAGAGAGAGAGAGAGAGAGAGAGAGAGAGAGAGAGAGAGAGAGAGAGAAAGAAAGAAAGAAAGAAAGAAAGAAAGAAAGAAAGAAAGAGGGCCAGAGAGATGGCTCAGTGGCATAAGTGCCTGCTTGGTGAGACAAGGTCCTGAGTTTGATCCCTGGTACTCACCCCCTAAAAAAAAAAAGACATTCCCTGATCATTGTATAATGTTTGATTCTATACTAAAGTGGGCATGTGAATTCTAGGGTCAGATCTTAGAGAAAGTTAGAAAGACTGATGAAACAATAACTTTGGTAAAAGGCATATTGCCGGCTATTTGAAAATTCTTTCTGCACCCTTGTCACACCCTCCCATCCATTCATCCAACAGACACCTCCCTATGTCAGGTACAATGTACATGGCTAGGGACACTGAGTCCAGGAACAGACAAGTTGTTGTGCCTCATGGGACACACGGTAACTGCCTGGAATACAGATTATAGCAGAAAACTCTGAGGTCCTTGTGAAAGCCTTTTCAAGGCAGAACATACAGGCTACATCATAAGGGAAGAAAAGATTGGTCTGTTACAGCATTGTGGCAGGGGAATTTCAGAAAGGTACAGCTTGTTCTGAGGCAGAGGCACACCAGACGCTGCTGGCGTAAGGAAATAGGGTGTTCAGATGCTTCCAAGTGTGAGACAGGGAATGGCTGGAGCGTGTTGTGTTGGATGGAACCAGACTGCAATTGCCTTTTGTGCAATTCAAGAAGTTTCTAACTCTGTGTATTCAACTGTTGTTTTCTTCAGGCATATTCTGCCTCATTTCCCCCAGAATTCAAGGACCAGAAGTTTGAACCAATGTTTATCAATAATAGAGAGCTAGTGGGAGTTTTAAAAAGCAAAATACTAGACCAGATAAACACTTGGCTTTTTACAGTGAGACAGATGTCAGAACAAGGGCTCTGGGTCCAAAAGGCCTGGGCTCACAACCTTGCTCCACCCTGGCTCCACAGAGGCCGAGGATGGCAAGCTGCTTCACCTGTCTTCCCCAGTTCCTCATTTATAAATGGTGTTGTGGGTGTGGGAAAAATGAGATAATCTTGTTCTGCTCTTGGCATAAACATTTCAATATCAAGTGGCAGGAGAATGCTGTGAAGTCTCAGCCAGGCCTTATGAGTGGGACGGCAGGCACCAGGAGGCATACTGAGAGTGAAGTCATGTTGTAGGCTGAGAAGACAGAGAAGTGGGAGGTTACTGACTGACATGGCCATCACCAGAACAGGAATGATTGGAGGTGAGGGTGGGAGGGGGTCAGGTGGTGGGGAGTAAGTCTGCCCTGGGGCCCATGGAGGGAGGATTCTAGGCCAGAGATCCATGGCCCCTCTGTTGCCACTATTTGTGTGCTTGTTCCTCATGCATGCACCCTGTGCTGTGGGCACCAGGAGCTGGGCAGGCTCAAGGTGAAGGAATAAGTGAGAATGCAGCCAAGAAACAATTTAATGGAGGAGCAGGAGCAAAATACCAGCCACAAAAGCTGGCTGTAACAGTGATAGGATAAGTTGGAGCTGGGGGTGGTGGGTGGGTAATGCTAGTGAGCAGCTTTTCCTAGATGTGCCCCTTGAGCACCAGCAGTTTCTAGATGCAAAGGGAAGTATCCAGGGAACAATCCTGATGGGACCAGGAGACACATGGCCTTCCTGGACAGGGTACACATAGGTGAGAATGGGCAGGAGACTGAAAGTGTAGCCAAAGACACATGATTAGGGCCCAGGGTGGAGACACTTAAGTGAAGGAGGCACAAGACTAGATTTGTCCCTTAGCATTTCTTTGGTCACAGTATAGAATATAAATTGGGGAGAATAAGAGTAAAGATGGAACCAGATGTCGTGGAGCACATCTATAATCCCAGTACTCTGGGGGGCTGAGACAGAAAGATCACAAACTTGAGAGGGGCAAGTTAACAAGACCCTGTCCTAAAATAAGGAATGGAAAAAGGGTTAGGGCTATAGCTCAGTACAAAGGCCCTGAATTCAATCCTCCATGCAGAAAAATCTATATCTAGATGAAGAGCATTTGTACATTCGTTCCTTGAGAAGTATTTATTAAGCTGGTACCAGACATCCATGCCAGTCCCAGTTCCTTAGAGCTTGTGTTCTGAGGTGTGTCACTGTAGAAGGTATGACCTGGGATCAGATCAGTAAGAAAGCTATCTGTCACAGGCCCAGTGAAAAATAATAAAGATTGAAGTGATATTCAAATGAGACAAAGAAATGAGAAGTGGATATAAGAGCTTTCGGTCTGCATTATGTGAGGAGTTAAAGTGGCCATGAAAGGCCATATGTTTCCTTGTCCCCATCTGCATCCTGCCTCTAACGGATGCAAGTAGTAGAGTTGTACAGAGTCATTCTTGGTTTCTGTTTATTTCCCTCAAAAAATCACAAATTCCAAACACCCACTGCATATGTTTTGCCTACCACTGTCTGGCCTTTGTGCTGAACAGGTTACTCAAACTCTATGCCTTTGTTTCCTTATCTGAAGAATGGGTCCATACCATACCAAACTCATGAGGGTTCTTTGAGGGCTCAAGGAGCTTATGGATATAAGGGTGTTATCTCAATGACTTCCCTGGTTTCTGTAACCCAATACATAACCTTGCAGATTAAAGAGGGAGAGGTCTGTTTTGGCTCCCAGTGTGTCCTGGCTTCAGTCCTAGGTAGAGGCAGCACCACATGGCAGATGAAGGCTGTTCACAGCAGGGCATCAGGAAGCAGACAGAGCGTAGGGAGGAGCAGCAGAAAGATGCCCTTCAGGCCGTGCCCCACTGACCCAGCTCCTCAAACCTGGCTTCAGCTCTCAACATCAGCTATAAGCTCATCAGTAGACTGCTCCACTGGGGACTGTCATGCCCTGTGATCCAGTCACCTCCCCAAAGCCCTACCTATGAGTGCATAAGGCTTTGGGGGACACCTAGGTAGAAACCACAAGTGTGGTAGACATTCAGCAAGCTTCAGCCATTACTAGTATCGATCATGTGTAGATAACAGCTACTGGGGCAAGGGCATCGGTACTCTGGTCATTTAGTAAGTGCATAAGAAATGAGGCAACTCACCAGTAAGTTCAGCCAAGGGATGTCACTGCCATTAGATGAACCAGCATAACAGGCAACAGACGGAACAGGCTGATGTGAAATTCTATGGATCTAGGTTTTTGAAACTATCTGAAAATATTTTCCTAGCATTATATAGGAATCTACTTGTGAATATTTTCTTAGAAATATATATATATATATTTTTTTTCCAGAAACATGTTCCTCATTTTTCCCTGTTTGTGTTTCTTATTTAGATTTCTGAGTTACATAAGAGCCTAGAGCAAAAAGAAAGCAAAATCCAGCAGCTCACAGAAACTGTAAGGAAATTCGAAAAGGAGTTCAAGCAGTTTGCACAGTTGTTTGGTAAAAACGGAAGCTTCCTCTCAAACATACAGGTAAGAAGCTGCCTTTCCACTCACAGCTGAGATCTTGCTTTCTTCTGGCAGTGAGGGTTTTCCTTCAACCTTTTTAAGAGGGGAAATCATTTAAAATACGAAACTATAGAACAAGGTGGTGCAAGAACATCCATGGGCCCTGTGGCTCCACTGTCAGCATTCTGTCCTTTTGCTCCATGGATTGCTCCTTCCACCCCTCCATCCCCAGCTTTTCTAAACCATTTCTGAGCATTCTACGAGTGTCACAGCACTTAGCTCTCCACACTCCAGTATTCCTTAAGAATGCAGATGATCATCTCAGCCCTAACCCCATAATTCAGCCATCTCAGTAAACTTAACATTTATTACTCTCAAATAATCTGTGGCAATTAAGGTTTTAATTAATGTGGTATGAATATTATTCTATCTCTGATTCATTGAGAGCATCTTTTGTAGGAAGGAAATGCTGTAAATGTCACTAAAATATAGCCAAAATGTTTTGTTAATTATGAACACTAAATCATAAATGGATTCTTAATGAATATGCTTTTATCATTATAAAATTTAAGGTGAAAGACTTTGAGACATTTCATTATGTCTTATTTTTTCATTATGTCATATGTGACTTATTTTCTTAGTTCATGAGGATGGTATATGACGTTTACACTCCTGCTGGGGATTCCTGCCTGTAACACATCTTAATTCCTTTTTCATCCCTTTCTCTCTCCCATCCTGCATCCACTGATCCCTTTCCTTCTATTTTGTGGTACACACTTGCAGTATATAATGTTCTTATCCCTTGTGTGGAGTTGGAACACAACACATCTGATTCCTTTTTCATCCCCTATCCCTCACTTCCCTTTTGAAAATGTTGTCTCCCTTCTTCCTAGTATCTTTTATTTTGCTTCAAGGCAATGATTTGTTTGAATTGAAAACAATTTAATCTCAATCAATTAGTAAAATATTAACTGTTTTCAATATTGTGTCCATTGTGTACTAAAAGGTGCTTACCAGTCACATTGACAAGTCAGCCTGGCTAGAAGCTCAAGTGTGTCAATTGTTACAAATGGTTAACCAGCAACAACATAACTTTGACCTGAGGTCTTTGGTGGAAGAGATTGATGCAGTGAAACAGAAAATCACCCTGCTAGAAACCAATGATCGACGATTAGGTATGTCTAATATTTTATGTCGTTTTTTGGTGACCTGTCTCTCTGCAGAACCTGGCTCTGTGGTCTCGTCTCTCTGGGGTGAACAAGTCTCTCTGCCCTCTGTGAGATTCTGGCTGTTTAGACAAAAAAATGAGGGAGGACCAATTGGCCTTCTGCACAGTGGCAGAAACTGAGCAGGAAATCCCAAACACTGGGAGTGAACATTTTTAAAAAGAAGGAAATAACAAGACAGTTAAGGAAGAAATGTGGTGAGATGATTGCTTTAGATATGATCAACATAAAAGGGCTTGGCAATTTAAAAGCGTTCAGCAGTAAAGCATTACCCAGTGAGCCTGAGGGTTGATCCCCAACACCTTAAAAACCTATGTTATAGGGTAATAATATTATTAAGCTTCTCTTCTGGAGGATTAACAACTTAGGTTTGCAGACCAAAAATTAGTAAAAAGTACAGTTGCAAGGACAGTCAACATTTTGGCCCTAGCCATTCAAGGTCAGTGAGGACTCAGGACATAAGAGAACCTGTACTGTAACATCATGTAACTCAGTAGTGCCCCTAATCTTCTGATCAAGGAGATTTTGGGGCCACGGAGGAAAGAGATGATGATGTAGAGTATGCCTAAGGAGAGTCACCGGGAGAGAAAACATTCTCTCAGGCTTTCACAGAGAGCAAATTGGTCAAGCAACTGCCGTGACTCATCCACATGGCTAACACTGATAAAGGATCTACAAACTGCAGTACAGGGTTTCAGGGTAAATCCTGAGGGGATTTGACTGACCTTGTCAGATACAGAAGTTACATTTCTTGTATATAGGTCTTGCTTTATCTTGTTCTTAACAATCCAGCAGAAAAGTGTAAAAATGAGGTATAAAAAGTAAAACCATATTAATACGCTGAGCTGTAAAAGGCTCAAGTCAACAACTTCTGACATTGCCAGTCCTATGGAAAACCCACTACTATTATGGACTACTGGACTATACTGTACTATTTTGCTGAATTCACACACCTACAATTAAATGGCAATGGAATACCCATCTCTGACAAAACTAAACAAAAAAAGGGGATATAAATGAAGGACCATTTTGTATCTGTATATACAAAATAGTTAGGATAGATATACAGCTGCTTTCTCTTAATTCAATGAGAAGAAAGATTTGTACTAATAGTGTTTGGACAGGATATCATGTCTCTATCTTGTACTATGAATAACTACTACAAAGACTACAATACGCAATGTATTAATTATTGTAACTGTCCTACTAACCTGATTTGAAACTGTCTCACTGCTATTTCTCAATAAAGCTAATAAAAAAAGAAGCACTAGAGTTAGAAAAGTGTGAGCTCACTATGCTAATGCTAATTGCTCCATGCAAATGCTTCAGTGTCTTTGCTGCACCTCGGCAGGTTTCAGTCTAAGGGTATCCAGTCTCTTTTTGTTGGTACCACTTTGCTAAGATGTGCTATTCCCTGAGCTAACATTAACAAGCGGTCCTCTTGGAACATTGAATTTAGTTCATCCTTAGGGTATTAAATTTGATATATTTTTTTTTTCTGGAACCAGGAATTTAACTCAGGCTCTTGACTGATTGGGTTCTTTATGGGTAACAAATTTCCATTTTAGGCAAAATTTAAGACACCTTTCAGGTGTATGGAACCTTTTTTTTTTTTTCTTTGCAGTTGTTTTAGAAGGAGAGACTAACAAACATGATGCCCACATTAATATTCACAAAGCACAGCTGAACAAAAATGAGGAGCGATTTAAACTGCTTGAGGGTACCTGCTACAATGGAAAGCTCATTTGGAAGGTGACAGACTACAAGATGAAGAAGAGGGAGGCGGTGGACGGGCACACAGTGTCCATCTTTAGCCAGCCATTCTACACCAGCCGCTGCGGCTACCGGCTCTGCGCTCGAGCATACCTGAATGGAGATGGGTCTGGGAAGGGGACACACCTGTCCCTGTACTTTGTGGTGATGCGAGGAGAGTTTGACTCACTGTTGCAGTGGCCATTCAGGCAAAGGGTGACCCTGATGCTTTTGGACCAGAGTGGCAAAAAGAACCACATTATGGAGACCTTCAAAGCTGACCCCAATAGCAGCAGTTTTAAAAAACCTGATGGGGAAATGAACATCGCCTCTGGCTGTCCTCGCTTTGTGGCTCACTCCACTTTGGAGAGTGCCAAGAACACCTACATTAGAGATGACACACTGTTCTTGAAAGTGGCTGTGGACTTGACTGACCTGGAAGAGCTCTAGTCCCTGTTTAGGATTGAGGCAAAAAACCTCAGAGTGTGGAGAACACACGGGATGGATTTAGACTCCGTCTAAATTGTACTGAGCTTTTCATCTTTTGTGTCTGAAGTCAGTTTAAAACTTCCAAAGAACTGTTTTCTTTTTGCATTTTATTCTGATGCAGTTGGAAACTTAGAACTTTTAGAATATCTTCTTGTTTAAAAAAATGAGTATTTTCTTGTTATTTATATTTTATATCTCACAGAAGATAGTATGTTTCTTTAAAGCAAAGTCAGAGGCTTGTCTCTTATGGGTGTTTGAAGCCTCTCAGGTACTTTACCCTAACCCTGAGGACACACAGCTGAAAACGCTTGGGCATTTATCCACTCAAATCAGACCTAAACACACTCAGTGTTGCCTGTTCCTTTTGGAGACTATTTGAAGTCATAAATTGCTATGAAAATGGGAATGTATGTAGAGTTGTAAGTTTCTTGTCTGAGTCTGGACTACTTTCTGAATAACGAATGATCGTGTTCTTAAGCATCCATCGTGTAGATCTGGGGGTGTGCATACAAATCAAGATGAGCCCTGTGACTCTTAATAAGCCTGAGCTTCATCAAATTGGGAGTGTTTTCCTAACCTGAAATGCACTTTTATGCCACTTGCCATTGTTCCCCTTGGGTGGGCACTCCTGAGTATTTCAGAATAAGTGCCATGGCCTCAGGGCCTTGGGGCAACCACACATCTTACCATTTCCGAACAGTTCACCCTACTGAACAGCCAAGAATTGTATTACTTACTTCTAGGAATGACAGCAACCTTTTTTCTTTCTCCTGTGGAATTTTCAAGATGCTAATGACTCATCCACAAGAATCATCCCTGAGGATTAAGTTCAAAGAAATAGATGTGCCATGGAATTGTAGTAGAGAATGACACTGTGGCTCCTGATCTGCTCTGGTTGGTTCTGGCCAACACAGCATCTCAGATAAACTCAGGATACATCCTGTAGCCCACAAGGCCAGACCGGAACTTGCTGCTTGTCTGTCTCTTTTTAATCATGTCCCAGGTCACTCTGTGTCTCCCAGGAGCAGATGAACATGTTGTACTTAATTTTAAGCAGCTGGTATGGAAAACATTTTAAAGTGAACTTGCAGAACAGTGGCTTTGTCCACTAATGGACAAAGCATGTCATGGTATGTTTTGGTTAGTTCAGTCTCCTTCACTGATACAGTGATTAAGTGAAATAGTGTTTTGTAAGAGTTGTGTTTTTTATTTTTAACAAATTAGACCCATGTGAACTATTTTCCCCCTCATTTTATTATTTTTTGTTATTATTGTTTAAATGTTATTTAATTAAATATTATTTTTAGTACAGGGTCTTGCTACACAGTTCAGACTCATATTGATCCTCCTGTTTTAGCATCTCCATGGTAGGAGACAGCCGTGCACTCCCAGGCCTGGTCTTAGTGGCCAGCTGGGCATGCGCAGGGTAGGGCTGGCCAGGGATTGAACCCAGGTCCCTGACCTTGCCCAGCAGGTGTTTAGACTGCTGAGCTATCTCTGAAGCCCCCTCATTTTATATAATTGTTTTTATTCTGTATCAATACATTCAAGTGTTTATTTCCATTTTGGTTTAATGTTGGCTCCTGGCCAAAACCAAAATAACAACAAAATATACTAGGCATAAAAGGGGAGTTACTGTCCTGGGAAAGAAATGTAAAGACTACAGTAAGGAGCTTGCGCACATGTTAATATACAAATATACAAATAGCTCTGAGTACTGATCCCTGACCTCTAAATGTAGTGATTTTAGGAAAATAAGAGATAGTAACAGGGCCAGCGAGATAGCTCAGTGGACCAAGTACCTGCTTAGCAAGCACAGGGCCCAGGGCTCGATTCACAGCACCACATGCCACACCGGCCCTGCCTCTAGGTGTGCTGAGCCGGCCACCGAGTCCGGGCATAGTGGTGCATGCCTGTAATCTCAGCACTGGGGAGGCTGAAAACAGGAGGATCACTATGAGCCTGAACTGCATAGTGAGACCCTGAGCCAAATACATTAAAAAAAAAAAAAAAAGTAACAGCCAGCTTCAAGTGCCAGTCTTGAACACAAGTACGTAAGACAGCAAGGCACAAAGCCTTCCTGTGCAGCTGGATAATCAGTCCACACCAGCTCCCCTTTCTCCCAGATGGCAGGCTCCCACATCTGCGCACCTGCTGTACCACTCTCTCAAGACAGCTCTTTGAAGTCGCCCCACAGCAACAGCACTTTAAAGTCCACTTCACCACAGCCTCCCAGAAGTCTTGCCACTGTCTTCTCACTAACCTCTTCTCTGTATCTTCTACCTCAGTTAATGGCACCGTCCATGCCAAAGTTGTATACATTCTTTTTTTAGCCTCCAAATACTTAAAATTTTGTCAGTTTGACCTGCAGTAGTTTAAATTGTTTGCCCCTACTGTATGCCACTTACATATTTTAAGCCTACATCTTTTTAAAAGTCACAACTAGTCTGTTTTTAGTTTAGTTTTTTTAGTCTAGAGAGTCTCATTACGTGTATCGGACTCATACAGATACACCTGTGTTCAGCCTTCCAAAAGCTGGAATTACAGGCATGCTCAATCTCTGTCTCAGTGTATCCTGGGGGCAGGCCTGGCACAGCATGTAGGGGATCGAACCCTGGCTGCTGCACTCTACCTAAGCAGCGCTTTAATCCACTGAGCTATTTGGCCGGCCCTTTTAGTTTTGCAGCTTTCAAATCATGCTGTCACCTGATCTCTCTAAAATGGAGTCTGAGTGGGATACCCCACACACACTGGAGAATGTGTCCTCACCCCTGGGATGGCACACAAGGCCCTTCAGACCCACCCCTGCTCCCTGCCTTTCCTGGCATCTCTCCTGCTTTGCATTTAGCAGACCACCCACACCATGTGCTATCTGTCTGAGCTTGTGCTGCAGGACTACTGGGAAGCTGTTCCCTCTTTAGCTCCTTTTCCTGGTACCTTCTTGCCCTTCCAGATTCCGTGTTGCCTTCCCAAAGCAGCACCTGCTCCCACCTGTCCCTTCCCAAGGCCAAGTGCTCTTGCTCTGAGCTCCAGGATTCCTTGTCCAGATCTCCAGAGCTGGACTTCACTGTATTTAATCCTTCGTGAAGTGGCTACAATTAAGCAGCATGATCAGTATATAAATGTTCTCAGCCTTCTTGATGTATATATGATTTGGGGGGGGAGGCTGTATCAGGATCAGACTCAGAACCTTGCACTTACGAGGCAGGTGCTTAAGTTGCTGAGCTAATGCCCCAGCCCTTCTTCTTGGTGTGATAGGCTTTCCCTCTCAACTTCTCTCCCTGAACCCTGAAAAATGTTTGTCTCCCAGACTGGTACTGGATGCTTATAATACAAAATAAGAGAACAGACAGAAGACATTTGAAGGGAGAGCCCCGGGACAAGGGATATGGGAAAAACCAAACAGATTCACCTAAGCACTGGGGAGAATTACAGAAGAAAGAGGAATACAAAAGTCTAGGAACTGTTGGGGATTGTGACTGACTTGGGGCCTCTCAATTTATTTTTCCCCTAAGAGATTACAGATTAAAATATATTTTTTTTGTCCGGGCGCTCAGTGAACACCTGTAATCCCAGCACACAGGAAGCTGAGGCAGGAAGATCATTGGGAGTTCAAGACCAGCCTGTGCTACAAAGTAAACTCATGGCCAGCCTTAGCTGCATAGTGAGACCCTGTCTAAAAAGACACACATACACACACACACACACACACACACACACACACACATACACGCACGTATGCACACAGGCACACACATACACAAAATCCACACACAAACATTTTATCGTGGTTTGAAATATATAAATTTGCAACTGCATAGACAAGACTATGACTTCAGGGTCTCTGAAGCAGTTGGACAAATGAGTATATAAAAATGTAAGTTTTGGGACTGCAGAGATAGTTTAGTAGTCTAAGTACCTGCCTGACAAGTACAAGGTCCCGTGTTCAATCCCTGATATCACATGTCGTGTGGGTCCCAGAACCATGGGTGCGCCATGCCAGCCCCAAAAGTGGGTGTGGTGGCACATGCCTGTAATCCCAGAGCTGGAGAGGCTGAGACAGGAGGATCACTATGAGTATGAACTGTGTAGTGAGACCCTGTATCAAAAACACAAAAACAAAATAATAACAATGTAAGTTTTGATAAGTATTTCAAAACAGTGAAAGAATAAAGGACCTAGGGTGGGGAAGGTCTTTTTTAGTGTTCATGTGAGATGTTTTCCAAAAGCCCAGAACTTTGGAACATGCTTACAATGTCTGAGCAATTTGCTACGAGAAAATACACTCTTTGATCTACTTTATGTGGCACAGGTATGTGACCTGGGCCCCTCCAAGGAGGCCATCCAATACTCCAACTTGAAGTGTGTGAGATGAAGAAAGAAACGTCCTCTTGCTAGCCTGTGGTGATTACCAGTGAGTGCAGCATTGCAGTCATACTGAATGGTGGCAGCAACTGATTTCCACTAGATAGTATAGTGTGTTGGGGTATTTTCACATCGACCCCACCCTGAGATTCTGTGAGCTATCATCATTAATGAAAGTCTCGCTCATGCAGAGCAAATTCTGTTGCTTGTAACAACCTGACCAAATCAAACTGACACCTGAAAGCTAAGTCAGCCGTAGGAATAGCAAGTGGAATTGATGAGAATTCTGGGCAGGGAGCCTAGAGGAGCCACAGAGTCAAGAAGAGGCCAGCATAAGGGGAGCCCAGTAAAAGGGGTAGTGGCACTTTCTCGGTTTGGAAAGGCAGTCAGGGCTCAGAATGTAACGCTGAGGCTGTGGTAAGGACTTTTGTCATTTATGTGAAGTATACGGGAAGTTAATGTGAAGTGCAATCAAAAGGGATGCACAATCTATCTGATTCATGCTTTCCAAAATATTCTGTATGAAACTTGCATGTCTGTTACCTTACTAGGTCAGAAACTCCCTGAGCCACAAAACATCTAATTTGAACAGATGTAAAAACATGTCTAATTTAAATATGGTAGGTGCCCAGTATGCTGAAGAAAATGTAACTAAATATAACTCTACTCACCAGGCTATTCTGCCTCCTTTATGGATAAGAAAACTTGTGATCAGAGAGATCTACTTGCTCAGCACTGTCTTAAGAACATTAAATATATTAGCATATTCATCTCACAACAGCCTTTCAAGTTAGGTACTATTTTGACCCCACTTTACAGAAAAGGTTATTTAATAAGTTCTAGGTTACATAGCTAGTAGAAATTAGAGCCAGATGAATCCAGGCAGTCTGGGATTCAAGGACTGTACTCTTACCCACTGTATATAAGACTGTCTCATGTAGGTACTGATTAATTCTACACCCAGACACACAAAGATATAAATTTAAATTAGAAGAGTAGACCCTAGAACAAGTATGTAACTGTCAAACCATTACAGGGAAAAATTGGAAAAAGAATCAAACCAGAAGGAGAAAAATAAACAACCATGTGCTAGACATACCTCTAGGTGAGTTAAACTTTACCACGAAAGAACAAAAATCTCAAATGAGGGGAGGGGAGCCTAATGTGTTAATAATATCCCTTAGTTATTGCAGACTGAGCAGGCCCTCAACCTTCCAAACAGGTGTATGGAGAAGGCTTAAATAAGAGTCAAGTGGTATGATTTTAGGGCTCCAGGAGGATCAAACCCCTCTAACAGAATTTGAGATTCTCTAGAGGAGTGGACAGATATCTTCTCTAGGATTTACTTATCAAACAAAGGAGAATACTATGGAAAGGCAGGAAACTGAGCAGGGCCCAAGTCCACTCAAAGGCTTCTTCAAGTAACACATTATGTTAATTTAGGAGACCTAAGTTATCTCCAGACCTGCACCACATGAATGAGATACCTTCAGCTATGGTCTCTAGCTAGTTAATTGGGGTTGGAGCCAGGCATCCTCAGCTGTGTCCTTATCTTGCCCTTATGAGGTCAAGAGCTCCACAGGCCTCAAGTCACAGCTTCACAGGCCACTATAGGCCTCAGGTGGAACCAGTGACTCACAGAGGTCACTTACTATGAATCTGATGTCCATCTCCAGACAAGGGCCTGTGCCTTGGTCAGACACACAAGTAAACATGGGAAGACAATTGGTTAACTTTAACATCTGCTTAGAGCTGCTTGAGCAACCCCTGTGGTCCTGCATGTAGAACAAACATTCTACACTGCTGGTAGAAGGGTAAGTTGGTATAATCAGCAAAAAAAAGTTAGCTGTATCAAATGAATTGTGCAAAGCCTTCCAACTTGTAATTTCATTTCTACACGTTGCCTAAGGAAACTCTTATGATATGCCCATGATGCTGTGTGTAAAAATGTTCGTGAGCTCATGTTATGATGACAAATATCAGGAATTTAAAATTACTAGCAGGAGAATCAATTGCAGTTATACCATGCAGCAGTTAAAGGAAAAAAACCCTTGAACTACATGAGTCAACGTAGATAAATTTCACAAACAATTACAGGTGACAAAAGACATTACAACTCATTTATATTTTAAGACTCAAAACTATATTATATAACAACATATACCTGTAGCATGTATAAGCTTTCATGGGAATGAGAGATACCAAATTCAAGGGAGTAATAGGGCAGATGAGACTGCACAGGATCACAGGGAATGCATGAATATAGAACACTAAAGTCAGAAGCAAGCATGGAAAAAATGTTAAGTGCTTGGTACAGATGTGTTCACTGAATTCTCTGTATTATTTCACAGTAGACATTTTAAAAGAAAGGTATGCTCTGAAGATCCTATAAAAACCAAAACCCCAGGAAATAAGAAAGAACTGTCACCGCAGCAGAGGAGTCACTGCCTTGCACCCATCTGCAGTGGATGGTGGTACAGAACTGTTCCAGCTTCCTGATCAACCACAATTACAGAGGGCCCCTCCTGGTTCTCAGCTTGGTCTAGGTCTAGGAAGTTTATATTTGTAATCCCGTGGATAAATTATTGGAATCCCATCAAGTTAATCCCAATCTACCATTTCCAGAGCAACCCACAATGAGAATAAAGACATTAAGGCATATTTATAGTTATAGGGAGGGGGCCTGCCCATTAGCTCAGTTGTTTGAATACATGCTTAACAAAGCAGTCAGCCTCAGAATTCTGTGCTTCGATTCCCAGATCCTCTTGCCTTACCAGACTTGCCCTTAAAGCATCCTGAGCAGGCAAAAAAAAAAAAAAAAAAATCCTTATAGGGAGCCAAAGGATCCTAAGTCCAGCCCTGATGATGGCTATGTGGAGCAAAGGCCTGGACCCTGAGGCAGAACCCAAGTTTTATTCAATCATGAAGGAGGAGTGGCTTGAGGATAAATGACAGAATGGCAGGAAATAGGTGAGTACTGTGAGCTGGGCTAGCTAGGCCTGTACTTATCTCTGCAATATGCAGAGAAGGATATGCAGACAGTAATCTGCATTACACATTGAGATAGTATCTAATGTTTTGGGGTCAGGTGCTTCAGCTCTTAAGTGTTATCTTTCAAGCCCCAGGAAATCATAGCCGCTATCTTAAAGAGGCTGATCCCAGCCTATAGCAACAGCCCAAAGCATGGCACATAGGCTCTTCATTCTGTCTCGACTCAGCTTCAAAGACCACCACCAGCACCTTGGTTAGACCAATATGCATTGTTTAAAGCCAACTGAAGGGATAAGGAAAGGTCCTAGCCAGCTCTGTACATATCAATACATAGAAATAGGATCAGGCACAGCCAAAAGGAGAGAACTGCTCTTCTTTCAAGGAGTTGCTCAGTTGGTCCTCCACAGGAATAAGCAGACGTACAGCACAGAGTCCAACAACCTGAAGGCCTGCAACTCCTTTCACAACAAAGGGCTGATTCAATGCAGGACAGTGGGTGGAGCTGCTGGCCAAGGGCAAGGGAGTTGTGGTGGTCATGAATGGAGAGCCTGACAACAGAAGCTAGCCACCTCCTGTATGCTCACCACCATCAACAGGAACGCAACATGCGTGACAAGATCCAGAGCAAGTACCTCCTGGGCCTGTCCGTGGCTGCCATCTACACAGCCAGTGCCATCTTCACAGCCAGAAGCCTGTGATGGTGAAGAAGAGGCGGACCTGCCCCACCAAGAATACCTGAGCTGCCCCTAAGCAATAAAGAGCTTTCCCGTGGTCAAAAGAAAAGAAAAACGTATCAAGAAAAAGAAAACTTCTTAAATTTTTAAATGTTAATACCATGGCTAATATTATAGCAATTTGAAAATCTGAACTGTGTAATTTTGTAGTGCAAAGGTAAGCAGAAACACCAAAGTGACACCCAGGATTTGAAGGTAGATTTATTTAATGTCAGTAAGACTGGCACTCACTAGGAATCTATTGTTTCTCAAAATGTCAGAACCTGAAGCCTTGAGGAGGAAAGTTTTTATGGAATTAGAAAGGGGGAAGTACAGAGATAGTGTACTTAGCTGTCTTTAATTGTTATAATACTCATCATAGTGTCCAGCTATGGATCACAGTGATCGGCCTTTCCTAGGAAACACATGTAACCGAAACTGCAACAAGAACTATTACCTTGGCAACTAACAAACGAGTATACTGGCTGGGGGAGCCATTTTCTGTTATAGTAGAAAAATAAAATCTACCTTAGGAATCAAAGAAAAATTGCTAACTACTTAAATGATCCTGGAAGCTATTTAAAATAAAGTAGAACAATCCCCCAATTCTCTCCCTTAGAAAGACACCACACCCAGATAAATTCTTCAAAACCTAAAGAATGGATCCTCTACATTTTTCATACATTAAAAAAAAGTTAATCTGTGTGATTCACTGTGAGACCCAGCACAACCTGCTCTCGAAAGTAGACCAGAGTACCAAAACAAAATCATAAGCCAATCTAATTTTTGAATACAACACAAATCCTAAATCAAATATACAATAAACTGGAAACAGTATGTGTTAAAGTAATACCAATTTCTAACAATAGTTCAGAAAACTTGGGGCCGGGGAGATGGCTCAGTGGAATAAGTGCTTCCCTGGCAAGCGCAAGGACCTGAGTTCAATCCCGGGGGGGGGGGGGGGGGCCCCCTTTTAAAAAAAAAAAAAAAAAAAAATCTCAAAAAGAATTTTTTTTTTTTTTTTTTACAGGATCTCACTATGTATGCAGTTCAGGCTGGCCTTGTGCTCTTATTTATTTATTTATCTATCTATTGGTGAAACCAGGGATTGAACTCAGGCCCTTGTGCTTGCCAGGGAAGCGCTTACTCCACTGAGCCATCTCCCCAGGCCCTCACTTTTGTAGCCCCCAGGATGGTCTCGAACTCGCAGAGATGTTCCTGGCTCAAACTCCCGAGTGCTGGGATTACAGGAGTGTGCCACCACGCCCGGTTCTGGGGCCGCACGGTGGGCGCCCGCATCTGGGGTAGAGATGCGGGCATCCGGGGCTCCTCAAAGACTTACACTGAAAATAATTGGAAAAGAAACTGCCAGACAGGAGCCAGAGGGCAAGAAGTGGCAGGGACACAGAGGCTCCACAACTGTATTCAAGAAACTGGATCACGAGTTCAAAACCTAAACATCAACCAAATACCTGTAGAAGTATCACAAGTAAACAAAAATCAATCGAAATAACTTCTAGAAATAAGTAGCACTAGTGTACCGCCCCAAGTTGTGTGGATTCTTGGGGGAAAGCCTAAATTACTATTTACCTACAAAATTAAGTGGACTATTCGTCAAACCATTAGCACATAACACTGCATTATGCTAGGCTACCGAAACAACCACTAAAGCCAAGAACGAGGCGCACGCAAAACATCAAGAAATTCCTAACATTTCAGGGAAGGAACTACACTGCTGAACGGGAAATCTCAAAAAGGCACTGGCTAGCAACCGGGACAGAGTACAAAAATATGTCAAAATTCCGGCAAACCTTTGCCGAACGGTTACAATCTATTACAGAATCTGGATTCGGCTTGAGGTGACACTCCGGGAAGGTGACATCCTGGGAAGCAGCGCCCCAAATTGCGGAAGCCGCCGCAATTGCGGGAAGCCTCAGTCACCGAGACCGCCTAGGGCCCTTTCCTCCCCATCCGCGCTGGGTCCCGGTCGGGCGTTTCCGGTGGGCGCACGCGCTCTCCGGAAGCCCCGCCCGCCGGCGCCGAGCCCCGCCCTGCGGCAAGGCGTTGGCCTTCGCGGCCCTGGCCGTCCTTGCGGCGCGGCCAGATCCGTTGTTTTCCGCAGTTTCCAGTAAGTGGCAGCCTCGGGCAGGACTACGGCAGAAAGTGAGAGAGCAAGCCGGGGGAGGCCTCCGGTGCCCAGGCCCGCCTCACCAGGCCTCCACGCCCCCTTTCCCCGCCCCCGGGTCGCTCCCTGGACCGGCCCCTGGCCCCCAGCTGGGTTTCCCCAGACGCGGCGCCTGACGGGAGCGTCCCACAGCTGTCTTCCCAGAGTCTCTTCTGGAGGCTGCGCTCCGGCTCTCACCCCTGCAGCCCCTCCATTTGTGACAACCTCGCCGCGTCTTCTTCTCCAGGTCTCTCGGAACACAGTCGTAGAATCTTATCTCTCCACGACGATCTCCCCCTCTCTCCTTGCCTAAAAGCTCTTTCTCCCTTTACAGTGACCGCTGAAGGGAGCGTTAGGTCTAAGGCACTGAACTAAGCGCTTGATGCACAGTTTATTTAATCTTCACAACATTCCTTAAGATTGTGAGAAAATTGAAGCAAAGGAAAGTTAAATTTGCCCAAGGTTTCATGGCTCAGATGAGCAAGAGATAAAATTTGAAACTTTTCCTTTCCTAAATACTTGTCTCCCTTGCACCCTGTTTATTTGGGGTTTTTTTCCCCTCCTCAATGCTCTGTAGAATCACTATAGAAAATTGGCTTCTGCCTGAGAACCTGCTGCCCGCGCTCTCCTTCCATTGACCCTTCAATGTTCTGTTCTGTCAGATATCTAAGCTCTTGCCTTAGTATTTTGCATCTGAAATTTACTTCTAAGCTGGAGATGTGACTCAATAGTAGAGGACTTGCCTAGCATGCTCAAGGTTCCGGGTTTAATCTGTAGTCCTTCATGTCTCGCACATAGGCATACAAAACCAAAATGTGCTTTGGCTTCCTTAAAGATGTACCCCTTAGTACCTACCTCACTTCTCTTTCCTCAGTACTTTATTTATTTATTTATTTATTTATTTGGTGTAAGGTCTCACTACACGGCTTACACTCCTAGTGATCTTCCTGTTTTCAGCCTCCCTAGTGCTGGGATTACAGGCATGTGCCAAAACGCCTAGACTAGCACTACTTTCATTATCATTGTTCTTAGCAAATATCTAAACACCTAGTAAAACAATACTAATACTTTTCCAAGAACTCTGAGGTTCAGTTTCAGATCTTTGGAGAAATGCAACATTCATTAAAAGACTACATACGTAGCAAATAAGTGTGAACTCATTTGCCCAAAAATCTGAATTCTACAAAAGCAACTTTGGACAAATCAGTTCATCCAAGTGCTAGACTCATGTCCACATGTGCAAAATGTTAAGGATGGGCTAGATTATAAGATATTGTACATCTATAATTCAGAGGAGTGATTCCTCAGGTGGGATCAGTTGAAGGAAGTATAATATAGCCTTGATACAGAGATGAACATTTAATTCACAAACTTATTGAGCACATAGCACCTAATAGAAGCAAGAAGTTTGGTGCGGTAATATGGTTGTACAGCCCTGTAATCCCAGTACTCTGGAAGCAGAGGCAAGAGGTTTGCAAGTTTGTACCTTGTCAGTCAATTTACTGTAACCTTGTCAACCTAAAAATTAAAAGGGCTGAGGATGAAGCTCAGTGTGAAGCTCCTGGGTTCAACTCCATAATGCAGCCCTACCTAACTGCTAAAAAAAAAAAAAGACAAAAAACAAAAAGGTAGACCTTGCTCTGAAAATAGAACTCATATTCACATAGCATGTAATACTCACCTTTAACAGACTCATGATTTCCCTTTTCCATACTTAGGTACATTAAAAAATCTCAGGTATTGGCAAATAGTGTGAACTATAAGAATACAAAACTAAGCCAGATTTGAAGGACCTTATTTTATAGGCAGTGTAAAACCATTGGAAATCTAAAAAGATAAATCTGATAGCAGTATGAAGGATTCATTAAAGTGGAGAAAAGCAGTGAAGCTAATGGGGTGGCTTAGACTAGGTTAGATAGGAGCCTGTGCCAGAGGGATGGAGGGGAAAATTAACATGAAATTTTGGTAAAAAACGAATCAAAAGGACTTTGGATATGACTGAATATGGAACTGGAAGAAATCGATAATATGGTTTGAGGTGGTTATGCTGTCTTTACTTGGTCGTTTTTATTGTACTAAAGCATATATGCTCATAGAGGGAATATCCGTAGGGGCCCAGCAGATGTTAAAAAGGATATGGAAATAGTATAAGCAACTCTATGCTCATACATTTTTAACTTGGATGAAATAAATCAGCATCAAAACTGTTAAAACTTGCTCAAGAAGATACAAAAAAAGCTGAATAGTCTTTTTTATAAAAAAAGCTGAATAGTCTGATAACTATTAAAAACCTAAAATAAGGAAAATTGTGGGCCAAGATAATTTCCCCAGCCAATTTGACCAAACATTTAAGAACAAAGTGATACTAGTTATACAAAAGCCCTCTGAAATTTAGAAGAGGAAGGAAAACTTAATTTCTTTTGTGAAGCCAAATTATCCTGATAAAACCAAGTAAGGATAGTATTTTTTAAAAGTTACAAATCAAATATCTCATAAAGATGCCAAATACCCTCCAAATAACCTGGGTGTGGTTGTGCACACTGGTGATCCCAGGTGAGGGTGAGGCCAGAGGATCACAAGTTCCAGGCCAACCTGGGCTACATTCCAAAGCCAGCCTGAACTACCTAGTGAGACTCTGTCTCAAGCAGAACAAAACAATAGCAAATGGGATGCAACAATATATTTTAAAAATACTGTGTTACAAGCAAATATGCCAGGAATTTAGGGCTGGTTAATATTTGGGAATAAACTGGCGTAATCTTCCATATTATAGAGTGAACAAACACATGACCCATCAACACAAGCAGCATAACGGAACAGTGTGCAGGCTGAACCAGCTAATCCTAACTGGCAGACTGAGGCAGGAGGTTGACAAATTTCACCTCAGCCTTGAGCAACTCAATTCAGTAAGATCCTACCTCAAAATAGAAACTAAAAAATGTCTGGGAATGTAGCTTAATGTATAGAGCCTGGGTTCAGTCATTGGTACTACCAAAAACAAAAAATAACTTTGAGATGAAATTATAAACAGAGTGGACAGAATATAATACCATTCCAGAGAAGAGTTGAGCATTTTCTTACAAAGTTAAGCCTATGTTTACTATGAAACTCAGAAGGCTCTCTTATGTGTTTATTCCTAGGAAACAAATACATTAACACCAAAATCTGTACCCAAATGTTTATAGCATTTGTAATTGTCCTAAATTAAGGCTAGTTGAACATTTGAAAATTACTCGCTAAAATCTACCAAATTAATGGACTAAACAAGAAAAGCTACATGAATTAGATATCCCCTAGTAAGTAAATGGATAAACATATAGCCATACTCCCATAGCATGGAATAGTACTCAGAATGGGAAACAATAGTATATGGGCTGACTTAGCTAAGATATGAAAAGATTGCTTATCAAGAAAAAGAGAAGTTGGCATTATAGTACAAAAAGGAACAATTGACTGAAACAAAAACATGGATGGGTCTCAATGTTAATGTAATTTCAAATGTTTATACACTTACTCATTTTGAACTTTCTGGAGAAGTTAATAGAACAATGAACAGATCAGTGGTTAGAGGTAGAAGGAGGTTCTGAGTGTAAAGGAGTGGCATGAGGGAATACTTTGGATATTGGAATACTTGTCTCACTTATACCACCCTTCTGCTAGTCACCTGATTATTTAAAAATGTTACTATTTTTATTAGTACATGTTTACGTTATATAATGATTATATTTTTCGTGGGGAGTTGATATATATCAATTCTTCATCCCCTTTCCTGATCCTCCCTTTCTCCCTCCTTTCATCTCTTGGTTCCCTTCCCACTTGAAAAAGGTCTGTCTCCTTACTTCCTATTACCTATCTTTTACTTTGTTTTTCACTTATATTTTATATTTTTCATGTGAAAGGAACTGCAATACTTAAGCTTCTGTCTGATTTATTTCATTTAACGTTATAGTCCCATGATGCATTCATTTTCCTTTAAATAACTCAAATTTATCCTTCTTTATGGCAAGAGTAGTATTCTATTATATGTAAATAATGCATTTTCTTTTTCCATTTATCTGTTGGTGGACATATAAGCCACTTGCATGATTTGCTTATTATGAGCTGTGCTGCCATAAATGTGGGTAGCATGTATCACTATAATGTGTCTCGGACTCTTTTAGAAACATAACTGAAAGGAAAATCACCAGGTCAAATGGAATTTCTACTTTAGTTATTTGAGGAGTCTCCATACTGATTTTCATAGTGGTTGTAACCATTTACATTCCCACCCGCAATGCAGGTTTCCTTTTCCCCTTCAGCCTTGCCAGCAGCTTCTGCAGAGCAAAGGAGACAGTCAACAGAGTGAAGGGACAACCTACAGAATGGGAAAAATACTTTTCCAGTTGTTTCTCAGAAGACTAATTATCTAGAATATGTAAGAACTCAAAAAATATACCCCCTCAAAACAAGAGCCAATCAAAAAATAGACACTTGAGATAGACAATTACCAGAAGAACACATGACCAATAAATAAATGAAAAAAATATTTAACAACCCTGGCTGTCTGAGGAATACAAATTAAAATAATAGGGAGATTCTATCGTATTCCAGAAAGAAGAGCAATCATCAAAGTTTTGTTTTTAAAAGCTCTACAACTTACTATAGCATCCACATAGTCCTGGGGACTAATGCAGTCCTCTCACTTGTTTGAAAAAGTAGTGTAATAATAGTTCTTGTTTTGGTGTATTAAATAAAGCATTCATATACAGAATTTAGAACATTGCCTGCCATATGGCATATAATATTGTTACAAAGGTAAGTTCTTTATCAGGGACCCAACAAAACCAGGAGAATGAGGCATCTAACTTGTACTTGCTACCCCAAAATTTGACATAAACAGATCTCTTTTTCAAGAATACGATATAGTGATAGAAAAAAAATGCCATTAGAAACAATACAAAATTTCACTAAACAAAGTAATAGGAATTCAGTAATGGTTGCTGTATTGCATGATGCTATCTTTAAATTAGTTATTCAGGGGCTGGGGAGATAGGTGGTCTAAGTACCTCCCTAGTAAGTACAAGAACTGGGGTTCAATCCCGGTACCACATGCCATGGTGGCCTTGTCCTGGGCGCACCGTGCCGGTCCCTGAAACTGGGCATGCATACCTGTAATCCCAGCACTAGGGAAGCTATGAATAATGAGACCCTGTACTAAATAAATAATAAATAAATAGGATTTTTTTAAAAATTAGTTGTTCAGGTTACCAGATATAAAAGTGCAAGATCCTATTTTCAACCCTTATTTTCATCTTTCATGATCTCCCCTGGTTAGAACCTGAGCTGGTTCACTTCTACTGCAATGTCTTTCTCAAGTATCCCAGTCTACACCACTTATCTATTTATTTATTTAGTCTTTTTGAGGCAGAGTCTTGCTGTGCAGTTCACGCTGGCCTTGAGCTCACTTTGTGGCACAGGCTGGTCTTAAACTCACAAGGATCCTCCTGCCCCAACCTCGGTAGTGCTGGTATTACAGGTGTGTACCGCCATGCCTGGCTGTTACACCACTTATTTTTTAAAATTTATTTTTATTAGTACATATTTGCAGTTCATAATTACATTCACATGGGGCATTAGTATGTGTACATATCTTAATTATTTAGTTCTTTTTATGGCTCTTTCCCCCTCCACCCTCCATGTCTTGGTCCCCTTCCCATTCACAAAAGATCAACTTGCTTCTTTCTGGTTTCCAGACATCGGCTGAATAACATTTTTCTCTTAAGTCTTCTTTGTTTACTTTTTTGTTGTGGATTTCTTAATTTTTATTGCTGTGTGTGTGTGTGTGTGTGTGTGTGTGTGTGTGTGTGTATGTGTGTGTGTGTATGTTTTGCTGGAGACTGACCCCCAGTAGTACTTTACCACTGAGCTATATCCCTAGTCCTTTTTACTGTTTATTTTGAGACAAGATTTTGCTAAGTTATCAGTCTGGCCTCAGACCTGTGATCCTTTTGCCTCACCTTACTGAGTAGTTGGGTTTATACACATGTGCCACTATACCTAGCTTTAATTACTGTTTTCTATAATTGTGCTTTTCTTTTTTTCTTTTCTGCTTGGCAATACTGAGCATTGAATCCAAGGTCTTCACACTGAGCTATGTACCCTGACCCTCTCACCAACCATTTTTTTGAGAAAAGGTCTTGCCAAGTTACCCAGGCAAACTTGCAATACTCTGACCTTAGCTCCCTAGATAATTATTGTTTTAATATGAATTTTAGGAAGGAATGACAGCATCTTGAATAAGAAGTTCCATTCCCTCTGTGTATGTTTTGAAGGGGGAAATTTATTTAATTTTTTTTTTTTTTTTTTGTATTTTAGGGAAGGGTCTACAGGGTTTCAGGGTCTCACTACTAGATTGGACTCATAGTGATCCACCTATTCACAGCCTTCCAGGAGCTGGGATTATAGGCATGCACCACCACACCGAGTCTCAATTGCCATCTCAGCGTGCCCCAGGGGCAGGGCGGGCATGGTAAACCCAGGGATTGAACCCTGGCCCCTGAACCTGCTTGCAGGTGCTTTAATCCACTGAGCTATTTGGCCGGCCCTTTTAAATTTTTATCAACATAATATTTATTCATCTTTAAAAAACAAGAAAAAACTCTCCAACATAGCTTCCTTTGATTCTATTTGTATACTTGTATATTTTACAAATATGCTTGTAGTATTTTTGCCTAACTCAGATATTATCTACCTTAGACTCTTTTACTTCAATTATGAAAGTTGAAGATTTAGCACATTAGTCAGCTTTCCAAAGCTATGAAAAAAATGCCAGAGATAATGAACAACTTATAGGAGCAAATGTGTTTTGGTTTGGTTTGGTTTTTCCTCAAAGCTTTAGAAATTTTAGTTCATAGTTGCCTGGCCTGATGGTTTGGGGGCCTATAGTGAGGCAGTCCATCATAGAGAAAACATGTTGCTGTGGAAGACTTTCCCTTTCTGGTGGCTGGAAGCAGAGAGCATGAGGAAGGGGCCTGGAGAAAAGATAAACCTTTCCAGGGCATGTTCCCAGCAGCCTTCCTTCAAGTAGGCACTACTTCCTACAGTTTCTACCACCTTCTAAGAGCCCAGTTAGCCATCAGTGGATTAATTCCTCATGAGCACCTTCATAATTTAATAATCTCCCCAAAGCTCTCCCTCTGGACTTCAGTATATTGAGAACCAAACCTTTAGCACATGAGCTTTTGAGCGCACATTCCAGACCCAAACAATGACACATTACATTCATGTAGTTTCTTTTGTATTATTCACTTTTGTGGTCATAAACATTGGTGAAGATTAGCATAGTTAAATTTTTAGGGTTTCTTTCCTCTGTTCAAATAATCTTTGTTGGTATGAGATATAAATTGTTTAATTAGTTTATAGGCATATAAATTTCTATGTAGGCCTGCTTGGAGGACCTATTCCTTTCATAGTGTTGCATGTCTCCCTTAATGTTACTGTTTGCTATACATTTGCTATGTATAGGAAAACCTATGAGCCATCCTTTTATTTCCATTCCCCCTCAGTTTTCATGTATAATCTGTCATTCTAATTCTTATATTCACCCTCCTCTTCCCACCAGTTATCACTACTACACTAATTTAGTGGTTCTCCACAGGTTTGTGGTACTAAACAGTGGTTGCCTTCCAAGGGACACCTATCAATATCTAGTTACTTTTTGTTGTCATGTTTAGAGGACACTACTGGCATCTAGTGAGTAGAGGCCAAAAATGTGGGTAAATATCCTAAAATGCATGAGAAAGTCCTTCCCAAAAAAATAATCCAGACCAAAATATTTCAGAAGTTAATTCTTTTTCTTTTGTTGTTGTTTCAAAAAACAGGATTTTACATTTAAAAGCCTCTAAATTATCAATATTTTTATTTTTATAGGCACAGCAGGCAGATTATGTAGACATGGATAACAAGTTCACACAGAAGAATCCTAAAGATACTGGGCCTAGCAATTATAAAGGTAGGAATTTAGACTTGCTTTAAGGCCTTTTAGTTAGTGTCAAATACATTATAAATTATTACACTTTCTTATATCTCATATGTTGCTAATATTTCGGGAAATAATTTTGCTCTATTTTATATCTCCCTAAGGTAAAAACAAACAAAAGAAACAAAAAAAGCACAACCCCAAACACCACCAATCCCAACACGGATCAGGGGCATCTTCTTCTTCAGATGATCGGGTGTTTCCTTCTTCATCTTCTTCAGAAAGTGAGACCGATTCAAGCACTGAAGGTTGTTTATCACTCTGTTAAAGTTTTTGTACTTATGTTAGGTGATTTGTAAAACAATTAGATTCAACTAGTATCTATTATAGTGTACCCACCATGTGCCAAACATAATGGGAAATTTGGTGTCATGCCTTCAGGCAAGGGAGCTCAATTATATTGGGCAATGAAAGCAAGTGAGTAGTCCATCACCATGTTAATGAGTGCTATGACTTGATATGCCAGTGTCAAGTAGACAAGGAAAGGCTTTGCAGAGGAAATAATATCTAAATTGAGAGGAATCAGAGTAGCAATTTTCCACAAGAAGTCAAGGAAGCGGAATTAGGCTAAGGAAGTGTCCATGTTAACCAACATTGACATTAGAGTTTCTGATTCTTAAGTACTATGCTTATATTTCTATCTGTTAATTTATTAGTGACCTAATCAGGATTCTTGTTAGCAAGGAAAACTGGCCAATTTAAATAGGAGAAAAATGAATTGAAAAGATATTGAATAATTCACAGAATTGCCAAGAAGCATGAACTATTTATCTTTGTAGATGGATAGGAGCAAAGTGAAACTGGTAGCCAGTTTAAGTCCACAGAATCTGGTAAAAATGTGCATTGCAGGCACTGAACCAGTGTTTCAATTTTCATTGTTACTTTATGTCACTACTCTTGTCATTGGTACTACTGGCCCTACACACTGAGTATTTCTACCATCACAGTCAGAATGGATTCTTCACTAACCCTACTCTTCGTGCCATTAGCTCTCAGACAGTGATAGGCTGAGCCTGGATCACATGCTAATGTCCTAATTGTAAAGGAAGCTGGAATGGCAAACTTTGGCACTTCAACATTCATGGTAGAAAGCATATAGAGGGATATTTACCCAATTTAGGAAGCAGAATGAGACCCTGGGCAATTAGAATGTAGGATATATTTATTCATTGTCATACTTAACATGGTATTAATTGACTAACTTACTTTAAATTACTCTTGTTTCACCTACCTTTATCACCGCAGTTTGCTAATTTTATTAGTTTTTCTATGAGTTAATAAATATTGTGCTTGTAACTCTTATTCCATCCATTTTAATCTATTATTTTACTGTTTTATGTAGGATAAGTAAATTGGTATCCTTATTCTGTACACCATCTTTTCTCCCCATTGTCTTTTTCTACTTTTTGTAGTTCATGGTATGATCTACAATCAAAACTGTTTTTACTTGTTCACAGACTCTTTAATGTTTTAAAATCAATAATCAACATTTAAGTTATTGTCACTATATAAATGTTACTGCAGTGCCAAATCATTTGTAAGAATTACATTTTCCTTTCTACCTAGTACTAAGAATTTCAAAGGGAAATTTTAGAATGTTTTAGTCATACAATCAAATACATCATTTTATATCAGTTACTTAGTATCATGCCATATTTGTTTTTTTTCACTGTGTCAAAACCAAGAAACTTATATTCATATAATTAGAATTCTCAAAGTAGAAAGGAGTAGGCAATAAATATTTAAAGATTTAAAATTTCTGAATTTAGGAGGCCTGCCCCTTAGCTCAGTTCTTTAAGTGGCTGCTTCAACAAAGCAGTCAGGCTCAGGTTGCTGTGGTTGATCCCCACAACTCAAGGCAGCCAAACCTCCCCTGAAGGCACTCAGAGCAAAAAAAAAAATTTCTGAATTTAGTTCAAATTATAATACCACATTTCCAAGGAAAATGAACCTTTTGCAAAGACATTTAAATAAAATCATACCAAGAGTCACAAAAATGAAATTGTCCAAAACTTCTTGTAAAGAAAAAAATCATTAAAGCATATACATAAAAATATTAGCTATGGAAGAACAAAATTAAATGGCATCTTATTCTACATTAGAAAGAAAAAAAAGGACCAAGTGTGTAAGAAACTAGATTAATTAAAGGACTAAAAGAAAAGATCTGTCCTCTTTGAATTTTATACTTAGCAAACATACCTTTGAAAACTAAAAGTAAGATTTTCTAGTTACACAAATTTGAAATATTTTAATGCCTCCAGAAGTAGCATATAGGAAATAACACAGAGCATAATTCAAAAGTATCATGCCATACTTGAACCATGGATTTTCTATATCTTTTGTTCTTCAAGTTTCTGGTTCTCTCATGTGTTTTTCATTATTGATAAAAATGTAATTATGTCATAATTAAAAGTCATTCTGTTCTATAGGATTCATTGCTTTTCCCTAGAAATGTTCTTGCCTCCATAATATCTAGACTACTGTCTACCACCAATGCTTGTAGATGATATCCTAGGATTTCCCTTCACTAGTCTTCAGGGTGGGAGCCATTGTTTAGTTAGGTCTGTGATTTATTCTCTCTTAGTTTTTGTTCTGTTAGAGTATATTGACAAAGTTTTCCAAAACATTATAAGGTAAACTGAGTCTTGGTATTTCTTAAAATGTCATTATTCTGCCCTCACGCTAATTGATGGTTTCAAAATGAATTACCTTAATGATAATTTCTAGAAACAAATATTTAAAACTCTTTTAGGGTTGGCCAAATAACTCAGTGGATTAAAGCACCTGCAAGCAGGTGCAGGGGCTGAGGGCTCAATCTCTGGACCTGTCATGCCAGCCCTGACCCCAGGTCGCATGGAGACCGCAATTGAGGCTGGGTTTAGTGGTGCGCACCTATAATCCCAGCTCTTGGGAGGCTGTAAATAGGTGGATCACTATGAGTCCAATCTAGTAGTGAGACCCTGAACAACCTGTAGACCCATCCCTAAGTTACAAAAACTCTTTGGCAGCATGTTTTATGTCTTAATTTCCCAATAAATTGTTTATGAAATAAACATTTTTATCTTCATTTTTCAGTTTTAGACTGTAGAGAAGATAAAAATTTAGCTATTTTCTTTTTAAACCACCATTTGTTACTAATGTTCACTTCCTCTCACCCATCTAAATAGAGTTTCATTAATATAACTGATGGTTTCAATTTATGATGTTGTAGACACTATTTGCAGATATACTAGATAATAATTTTCTTTCTAGCATGACTTGTTTTTCCTTGCATTTAGTACTTATCTTTAAAAATTTTATTTAGCTGTGTTTTAGATATGTAGTAAGAGTCTAAGTTCCCTTTCAAAATGTTCAAAACCCTCAGGTATGCCATTCATTTTCGTTTTGGATCCTGTTCTGGATCTTTTTAATATACTCCATCCTGTCTTGCTGCTCAGAAGCTATCATACTAGAGTCTCCTTTCATCTTTACCCTGGGAATTTCTTTTACCTCTCTCTTGGGTTTGACCGTCCCTTTCATGGATCATATGATTTTGACCTCCTTTCTTTCCCTTTGCTTTATTGGAGCACCCTATCTTCCAGGAAGAAAAGGGGCAATTTATAATTTGTTTGTGGTTGTAAGTTTATGCCATTAAATAAGTCTCACTTATTGATTCCTGCTTCCACTGACACAGACTCTTGTTAAAAATTCAGGAGAGGTAGGGATAAATTAGAGGTAAATTGAGCCCTATTGGAGCTGTAATGTCATTTTGCATAATCTGTGGTTGTGTTTGGTGGTTATCTATCATGCTATTCTTCTAATGGAACAAGGACTATTAGTCTTCAGAAGAGTATAACATTATCCAGAATCCATAGATTCTTTGAATGTAAAGAACTTAATTTTCAATAAAAATTTCTAGATATACCTACATGACTGAAAAACAACAGAAAAAATAATAGCTACAAAAAACCCTGTTTTTGGTGTTAGATAGTGTTATGATTTGTGCCTATATGTTCCCCTCAAACCCTCATGTGGTCAGAGCTGGGGTTTTTGGAGAGGTGGCTAAATCTGGAGTATGTGAGTGACTGTTTCATGGTGCAATGCTAGGATTAAGGATGGATGATTACTAAATCAGGCCACTGATTAGTTTGACATTGCCCTAATCCTGGTAGCCTAGGTAAGATGAAAGGGTAACAAGATGCTATTAAGGCCTCCTTGTTCTTTGATACCTTTGCCCACCATGAGTGTTATTCTTCTGTGAGGCCCATCTACCATAACACTCTGCCTTGGAGCCAACAGATTATGGACCAAAACCTCTACAAACTGTGAGCTAAGTAAAGCTTTTCCACTTTAACTGTAGGTGTCAGGTATTTTGTCTCAGCAATCAGAAAAAATCACTAAAGCAAAATTTGGTACCAAGAATAAGGTCACTGCAGTTAGTATACCTGACCCTGCAGTTCAGAAGCCTTTAGGACTGGTTTGTAGAAAATATTTGGAAAGATCTGGAGATGATGGCTGAAAAAGTAGAGCTGGAATGCCTTTGATTAGGATATTGTGGTCAGAGCTCAGAAGACCAGAATGCTGATAGACATGTTGCTGGTAAAGACCAGGCTCAGGAGGTATTTGCTAGTAAGAAGGACTGCATTGGCTATTGGCCTCTGAAGCAGGTGTGTTGTGCCTTGGTAGAGTTTCTCTGCATTTTGTGAATGTCCATAGACTTCTAATACTGAGATCAAGTGCAGGGGACTGATCAATCTTATAGAAGAAATTTCAAGGCAGCTTGATGTTGATGTAGTGGCAAGGCACGATGGCATGATGTAGTGGGGGCTTTTAGCCAGATTTATGTTGAGAATTAAGAGCAAAGAACCCAGAAGAATGATTTTTAAAAAATTAAATTTGGGCTAAAGAAACCTCCAGTAAAGTTGCAACCTCCAAATATGGAACAGAGGAAAAATTGGTGGCTGAAAAAACTAACAAGAAAAAAGCAAGTGTTTAAGAAGACAAGGGGGCTGCTGGTTAGCTCATTTGTTTAAGTGCCTGCTGGGGCAGACCCAGTCAAGTGCAGGGTACCGCGGTTTGATCCCCAGTTCCCTATGCCTTACCAGAACCACCCTTAAGGCATCCTGAGCCAGCCAAATAATAATATTATAATAATAATAATAATAATAGATAACTAAGAGAAAAAAGAAGAAGACAATAGAAAACATAGCCTAAAGACATCATAGAGCCAACAGGACTTCAACCTTTGCAGCCTCAAAGTTGCAAAGGTGAAAGACTTTGCTTTGAAATGAGAGCCCCAGAGCACTATGTTCTAGAACAGTGGTAGCCTAGAGAATTTTTTCAGTGGGATTGAGTTCAGAGTGCTCAGAAACTCATGCCCTATAACCAAAAGAGAAAGAATCCTGACTACTACTCCAGGTGGTGGCACACCTTAGACTCATTCATGTGGTCTAGTTTTTGTTTGTTTGTTTGTTTTGTTTGTTTGCTTTGCAGAACTGAGGATTGAACTCAGGCCCTTGCACTTGCCAGACAAGCACTTATTCTACTGAGCCATCTCCCTGGTCCCTGCATGCAGAATGCAAGAGTTGTGGGGCTGGAAGCCTTCTACACAGATTTCAGAGGGCAGTGTGCCCCCTTAGAGGGCCATTTGTGAAGTTGTGAATATAAAGCTGAAGGTGCAGTGGAAATCCCAGAAGGTTGGAGAAGTCAGGATTGTGAGTCATCTGAGAAAAAATTGCAAGGAAGGAGCAAAACCAGACTAAGAGAGAAGCTATGGGGGCTAGCACTGCCAGAAGTGCCATAGGAAGAGCCACCCAAACCCTTTGGAATTTACATCTTGCCACAGATTGCCTTGGATGCTTCACATGGAATTATAGGACCTAATGTTTACCCTGCTGGATTTTGGATTTGCTTTGGTTCCACTCCTTTGTATCCCCTTATTTGTACCTTTTGGAATGGTAATAGTCATTCGGTACCATTGTATGTTGGAAGTGTTTAACATTCTTTTCATTTGTACAGGGCCTTGAAGCTAGGAGTTTGCCCTAAATCTAAGAGGAGACTTGTGACTTAGACTTTTCAACAGTACTGAAACTGTTTAAAGGTGGTTGAATCTAAAGTGTGTGACTGATTGTTGGTGCAATGCTAGGATTAAGAGTACTTGGGAGGGGCTGTGCCTGCCTGGCAAGCATGTGGTTCTGAGTTTGATTCCTAGTGCCAAATAAAAGTATTAGGATAAAGGGTGTATGGTTACTAAATCAGTCCACTGATTTGCTTGGCACCACCCTAATCCTAGTAGCCTAGATAGAATATAAATTGGACAGAAACAAAACTCCTAAGGTCCCTTAATTGTTTTGCTACCTTCTACCTACTGTGAACTGTTTCTCCTCCACAATGCCTGTCTGCTGTACTGCCCTGCCCTAGAGCCAGCCA